ATGAATAAGACTTGAAAAATACGACAGTTTTACCTTTCCTCTAAAAATCAGAAAGAAGGAGAAACGTGAGGTGATTTTATCGAAAATTCCGTGAGCCGGATCCACGCTTGAAATTCTAATGGCGGAGCACGGGAAGGAAGCGAGATCTACATAGAATTGCCCGTAATACGGTGGAAAGGTAAATATGTACGGTTCTCGCGCGGACGAAAAAGCCACCGGCAACCGTGTTTCAGGCCGGATAAAAAGCCCGCGCGCTCTCAATAATTGATCGGCGCGGCGCGGCGATTAATCGCGGAATTTATGTGGACGTCAATGACATTATGTACCTCTCTACGTACCGGGCGATACTTTCGCACGGTGAAATAAGAATGAGAGACGCGATTTAATCCGAGTCCGTGCTGAAATAAACAGACCGGAGGAAGAGACTAAGCTACATATATATACACGTGGATGTTCCGGATTCCGTCGTTGCGCTTCCTTCCGTTCGTGAATTCCTCCCAGTAATTTGGAGTCGATCTTCCCTTCGTGCTTCGTGTTTTTTTTTAGTAAATTTTCTCGTTTCATTATATATATATGGATATATATTTTTATGATATCGAATTAAAGTTTAACCGTCAAAACATCCACTCAAAATTCCTGACAGATAACATTTTATTATCAATATTTAGTTATAATTTCTGCAAATCGCGAAATTTACAATCGTTTAAAACTCGAAATTCATCGATGGACTATCGACATTTTTATACAGGACAAATTTATTGCAAATGTGCGGAGAGCACGCAGGCATCTGTGCGTGAAGCTGCGTTACGTATTGCAGGTTGAGCGGGAAAAAAAGTCGCGAAGCCGATAACCGCGTATTTCATACAGCGGATTTACGCGTTTTCGTTTGTTTTCTCTATTTTTCTTTTTTCTTTTAGAGTTGCGAGACGTTTATTTCTCTTTAGGCCGATTATGCGCGTTTTCCGCTCTGCGTCAATTAAAGAATCCGCTGAAAGCTTTCGCGCATTAAGGTAAATTGTACTTAAGCAATCGGTCGACTCTTGTTACATACATACCTCGGCATTACGTTTATTCTGCGCATCTGTAGAGGTATGTTTATTGTACTGGTTATTATTTATCACCTTTAAGCCGGCTCTATACATTCGGCCCAATATAAAATAGTTATAACGATGCGATACTTTAAACGATTTATGTTTTATCATAATATATATGTTTGACAAGATTTAATTTATTATTTATAGCTGATCTTTTATGTCATAAAAGAACTCAAGAATCAAGAGATTAAGAAATTCTTGGAAATAAAAAGCTTTGCAAATTGAAAAGATAAGCCATGCACATATTTAATATTTAACTAAAAAATAAATCTCATATGCTGCACATTCTTTTCTTTGAAAAAAAAAATTTAAGAGATTAATTTTTGTTCATCTTTTTTTCATCGAATTTGCATATATTTCTACTCGTCGTTAATAAAACATTATTAATAAGTTTAATAAAGGTTAATAATTTATAAAGACTCGATTGGCTAATAAACAACAAAATATAAACTTTGTTTTGCTTATTATTAATGTATCATTAATAATAAGTTATCTCTTCTTTAATCGAAAATATGTTTTAAGATTAAATGACAAGAGTCACAGACAGTTTTTAACTTGGATTCAATTTTTCATCGAACGAAACATATATTCCACAGGTGGAGATAAAGCTGATCTTTTTTTTTTCTTTTTCACTTATTCTACCTTTTTGTCTCAATGAAATTTTTATTCGGGATAATACGGGGGAGCCCGTACGATATGAACTCAATTATAAACTTTATTTTTGTATTTCTCGTTATTCGTCTGTTTTCGAACTCTCGACTCCCGACCACGGACAATCGGCCAGCGTCGCGTCGTTTTAATCCGTTCTCCACAATTGCGGCCAATCATCGAATCCCTTCGGACGAATCCGAATGTCGACCGTCGGTCGGTCTGTGCTACAAAATTAAACGACACCCGTCGAATCGCATTTAGATACCCCGACCGGCCGATTCACCTATATTTTATTGACGTTCGGATGGCGGTATTGCGTAAATTCGCGGACGGGCTAGACGACCGTCCAAAACCCAATTTACACGATTTACTCCAAACGATCATCACGGATGAATCATTCCAAGTGTATGTGCGTATTGCGTGAACGTGGATTTTCGCTTAGGCGCGTCATCGCAAATCCACTATCAAATGCGACGCGTTTCGCGAAAATTAATGGCCTTTTGAAAAATATAAACACGAGAGATACATAGGGATTTGTTCGCATTCGGGAGCTCCCGCCATTGATTATACAACACTGGATTTTGTGTAATGGCATAACTAAATCGCTCGTTTCAACAAGGATTGTTAAAGCAATTCTATCAATTTTATAGCAAGCACAAAAATCGTATCTGTGAAACTTATAAACTCTTGCAGAATTTTAATAAATTATGTATTTGTAATGAGAAAAAAAAACTTATCTGTAAGAGGTATAACAGTTTTCTATCAATATTTTATTATTTCCAGTATTTTGACATCACAATATTTTTTTTATTTCAAAAGAGAGTACAATTTATATATAATTTACCTTGTTGCTATTTTTTAAGATACTACGATATTAAAATATATACTGTCAAATGAAAACCTCTCTCTATGAAATCAATATTTATTTCGCGTGCACTTTACAATATATATATATATATATATATGTATAAAACTATTAAGGGAAGTTAATATTTCTGCACTCAAATGCAACCAACAACAATAATTCATGATCTGTGCCGAAACTAACATAGATTCGTGACAGTACCTATGCATCGATGCAATGATAAATGATAGACACATGTCCCTTTCAGACAAAACACGAGTACAGTGAAGAGAGAGAGAAGGAAAGAGAGAGAGAGAAAAAGTTGAGGTATTGAAAAGCATTGTTGATTCAATTTGGTTAAAAAACGAGAGCTATGCCGTTTCCGATATAAACAATTCAATTGTAAATCACTTCACATAGCCTATATCAAGGCTTTTCATTCCTACTGCAATATGTGTGTGTTTGTGTGTCGATTTTTCGTGATAAGCCGCCATATGGAAAAATTGTTTGTCAATAGAAAACAGAGAGAGGGAGAAACTTTTGTGTATTAAAAATTGATATAAATTTTTTCAAGATATAAATTATATGTAATTTACCTATAGTATTATTTACAAAATTGAGACATGTAATTCATCCAAATTGTCAGTCGACGAAGGGAGAGTTCGTCGTGTGAAATTGTTTCTAATATTATTTACATTATCCCCGGCAAGCGAAAGACTCGTTTTTGATTCCCGATTCAACGACTTCGCCCCGATATTTTTCTCGCCTTCATTTCTTCAGGAGGGTAAAGAGGGATTATTGTAAATCTCGAATTGAGATTTTAAATACTCTTTGTATAGGGCCAAAAAAATTTCGTGTCCTGTGCACAGTAATCAGTTTCATAGAAAAATATTTTTGCACTGCCATTCACGTCTGGCTCTTAATTGCCCGCGAATTTTTAAAAGTTTACTTGCGAGCTTTAATTTATCTAAACTTATCTAATATTAATGTTTAATTTTGAGATGTCGCCAGTAAATAAATTAATAGACGAGTGTTTATACGACCAAACTGGCAATTTATTGTTTGATTGTTATATCACAACAGCCGAACATTTCGGCTATTTATCTAATATTATTGTTAATTGAAAAAAGAAATAAATACTCGCGATGCGTAAACTGATTTCGTGCGGTATCGCGTTGCGGCGTGGACGCGGAATACCACGCGTTACAGGGATTATCGATCATATCGCGGCCAAACCATCCGATTACGTTGATTCTTCCAGCGGCGGTATCGGTAAGCCACTAAGCTTGCGTGACCGCTAACATTATCGGAATAATTGTTCTCTCTCTCTCTCTCTCTCTCTCTCTCTCTCTCTCTCTCTCTCTCTCTCTACGTTGGCGGAACCTAATCGATCCTACATCAGTAGAAAGGAGCATCGGCTCGCGATGTTCAATAAGGCGGGGGTCGCAATTAGAACTTCATTCGCCTCTTAAAAATGAGAAATTACACGAACCTGGTTTAAATTACTTTGATTCGCCGGCAACTGGACGTAACGGATACGTACAGGATTCTTTCTCGACTCGTGTAATAATCAACGGCATGGACTAAAAAGTGGCAGGGTAATACGCGGTTAAAGTTAATTAAGCAAGACGATGAGACGGCAAGCAAATTACGATCGAATGACGGAATCGGAAGTGAACGTGCCGTCACGCGATAAATGCTGGATAACCGAGCGGCTATTAGTACGCCACGTAGTTATCGATTCTGAAGTTATGAGTTTCTAACTGAGAGCTCGCTTCTACGCTTATACATTTTGCCATTAATTGCCTGTTTACTTCTTTTTTCTTTTAAACGAATGATAGTCTTGGAACTCAAGATGCGTCTTTACAACTGTATCTTTTTATTCCATTTAATGTCAGATTCAATGATTAAATATTAGTATCTTGTTATATTATTTTGTTTGTTATATTTTAATTCCAAAGACTAAGCGCTAACGTAAATTAATATTCTTTGTTTCAGATATATGAGTCTTCCAATTCTGTTTTTATATATTTTTAAATATAGAAAAATAATATTTTTTTTGCTTGCTGTTGCACAAATCTGTCTGTAAAATATGTAATAAATTTGCTTATACCTTTTAGAACGTTAATAAAACTTTTAACTATTCTGAATGTGGAATTATCGATTATCGACGCGCAGCGTCGAATATAGTAGGTAATCCGTAAATTTCACGCACACCATTTCTGCGATGTAATAAAATGTAATTTTATAGTCTATGGCACATCTCGTTCCCCATTTTACCTCACCACCCCTCACCCTTTATCGAAGCAGTAAAACGCTCGCAAAGCGGTAGCACACGGAAACACACTCGAGCTTATCGTTCCTCCGGGACGCGCTTTCGGACCGAAATCATCTTTATCTTTCTGTTACAGGCGACGGCGGACAATATTTCCGGATTAGGCCGAGCAACAGCTCCGTGTTGGAAGGTGGCGAGGTGATAATTCCTTGCGAAGTGGGGAACCGAGTCGGTACCGTCCAATGGGTCAAAGACGGATTTGCCTATGTCATACAGCAGAGTAAGTTCAATAAGTTGAAGTATAAATTATCTTTTTTTTTTCCTGCAACGCGAGCGCGTTGTTTTTCGAAGCAGTCATCGAATTCACGTCGATATTCTTCACGAGGAGATATCTCCTCACAATGAAAATACCGATGCTTATCATTAGCAATAATTTTTCAATTATGAGATACCGAGAAAACTCTAAATTAATTTAAAAAAATTGTATCCTCTATTTCGTCATTCATTATTTTTTAACTGGATCTGAATTCAATTTCAATGTTAAACAACGAAGAATATATTAAACAATTGTGATAAAAATATTCTATTCAATTATATTATAATTGTATTATTTAAGATAACGTAATTTTTTTTCCAATGAAAATTTTGCTACAACATAGACGTGAATTTTGCGGTATGTACAGCGCATAATTTTAATTTAAAGTTACATTTGTTATATTAAGGATATTTTATGAAATGGAAATTATCTAACGCCACGCCATATCTACATCTGGGCTGCAATGATAAATCCACTTGAAAAGAAAATAGCTCGGAAAGCTTTGATATAAATGTGTATAACAGAGGTTAAACACGTAATTGTTATCGCGAGAGCGCAAACCGTGTACGTTAAATTCGGTAAAGACAGGTTGGTGTGTTTTGTACTTGCACAATTAACGCCTCGGGAGAGAGAGAAAGCCACTCTAAATCCACCAATTAAAAGCACGCACAACAAAGCTGCTTATGTATTTTCAATGGGAAATTGTGTTTTCGTAATACCAAGGATTGGTTTACACAGGAATTTTCGGAAATACATTAACGCGTTAATAAAGAACCGCTCGTGCTACTCTGTTATTTCCTACCTGATTCCGTGGATTTACATCGCCGTATTACTTTACAATAACACGCGTAGCGCACAGATGTAAACTTACGTTGTTTAGTTCATATTGAATTTTAAACCTGATTTTTTGTATGTTGGAACTGAAATTTGGTGTGTTGGACTATTTATAATTTCTTTTTCAAAGAGAAAATTTTTGTAGAATCTAATATAGCTATGAAACAATTTTTCCGGCCCAAAAATTTTTAATTTTAAGAGACACTCGAGCCAATTATTTTACTAAAATTTTTTAATTAGAGTGTAATATGTTACTCGACGAATTTTCGATTTATACGTGACAAATGCAATTATAAAATATGTTAATAGCTTTCGAATTTAAAATTTTAATAATTTTTGCGTGAGTTTGAAGAATAAGTTTGACATTAATAAAGTAAGATACCGATAAATTGTGAAAGTTTTACTTATAAATATATATCTGGCATGTACATACATAAAACGACTTTTACGATCTTAGTTAAGAACCATAGCAGCGGTGTGGATTTATTATTTAAGCCCAGTTGTAAAAATAGAGATCTACAAGAGAGAACGGGCTATCGACGCCGAGCGGTTAATTACCCGGCGGTCTCGTCGACTTCCGGTTATCGTAATCGCATCGTTTTGCCGAGAGCGCTCGCATACCGGCCGAATAAGCGCGTAATAAACAGAGCTAAAATTAGAACTGATATATTAACTGCGTATCCGCTCGTAAATCACGATTCTCTTCTTAGCCGCAGGACGAAAACCGTTGACCAAATCGATTCCACTCAACGATCGTCGCGTTACCAAGAGCATGTAATAATCGAAGCGTAACAATTACGATTAATATTGCAGACGGCGAAATCGTGGGCCATCCTAGGCTGAAGCTGATCGGTGATCAAAGCGCCGGTATTTTCAACCTGAGGATTACCGATGCGTCTCTAACCGACGATGGCGAGTACGAGTGTCAGGTCGGACGATACCTGCGAATCAAACCGATTCGCGCCAGCGCTCATCTGATCGTCACCTGTGAGTCGAAATACGATGCATAAATTAAATGTTTAACTCGACTCCGTCCAAGTTCATCGAGCGAAGGGGGGCAGGGGTTTCATTTCGTTTCTCGCACAATTACTCTTTTTAATATAACTAATTGATTGTTATACACGGATATAACAAACTCAATGATGATTTATAATAAATGCCTAAGGCGTTTCTATTCTTTTCTGTTTTTGCTCCGAGAATTTGGACAGGTCTAGCTTTACCCTTTCGTCATTAAGAGAATTTGAATAGTGAGTTATCCGAATTACTTTGTCACTTTAATGCGAAAATAATTTTCGAAAATGTAACGTGTGCATGTTGACTTTATAGTCGAAAGATATGAGCGGAATCTCAAAGATCTACAATCGTAAGACGAACGCTATATATTAATTAAAATTTTCTTGGCGATGTCTCTTCGACAATTCTGGATAAACTCCAGCGCAGCGATGGGACATGCGAAAATACTCGCTCCTGCTTGGGAATAATCGCGGTCGTTTCTATCGCACCGACGATAGTCCCGTCGACGGGCGTAGCCCGTTAGTTAAAATGCAAAGCTTGCCGTAACACGAATTACAAACTCGCGATCTCGAAACCGTGCTTAAAGTTAATTTACGCGGTTGTACCAACGCGTATTACGTTTGTGTGTCGCCACGAAAGAGCGACTTTCGGGGTTTCGCGGGAGCAGTTTGTACGCCCGCCGGCAGACCGACGACGACGACGACGACGTTTGTTGGTCCGGGCGCGTTTTCATGCCATCGACGATCTCTCGGTCTCTCTCTCTCTCTCTCTCTTTCTCACCCAGTCGTAAATTATGCAAAAGTTATTAAGCGTGACAATATGCATTCGCCAGCCAGACTGTCGCGCAAATTAGTTTGCAAAGCGGAACGAAAGCTAGTTTTCGCGCGCGCACAAGCGTACGAGCGAGCGACCTTTCCGGTGCGACACCGGAGCGCTGACGTGCTCGCTTTCGAGGAATGACGCTTTGATACCCGAGAATTCGCGGGATCGCGAAACCCCCGCGACGTTCTTTCTTCTCATTCACATTCGCGAACGGCACGTCTTCGATTCGCTATGATCGGGATGTACGTCGCAAAACTAATTCCGAGGTTATTTCCGGCAGGCACACCGACGGTCCTGATGACAAATTTTCGTTCGAAGACGGATTTTTCTTTCACGCTTTGCGAAAGGTTGCTTGGAGAAATTTTTTCGAATTTTTTTTTTTTTTTTTTTTTACGGCGAAATTTTTCATTCTGCCCGTTTATTTTGAAAAAATGCGTGTATAATTGGCTGCTATAACTTTGTCGTACATTGCAATATCTGTGTATATTTTTTATCGTCACTAATTATTTAAAAGAGTAATGTACGAATCTGCAGAATCGTTATATCTAAACCGTAACTAATTTTGACCTGCTGGATCTTCTCTTCCCTTTTATCAGATATACGTATAAATTATGGATTATGGAATTACCATAACGAGAAACTCGCCGAGTCAATATGATTTATCTACTTAATGCCTCAGTGACTTGGTGAGCAAGCTGGAGTTTCCCGAAACGTGACCTACTTTTCGCGACAGATAATGTATTAAAACACAAAAAAGAGTATATTTTATTAACCTGAAAGTTATATTGCTATCTTTCTCGATATAAGCGTTCCTTAAAGACTCTCGCGATTTTTTTATATAATATTTGTATATAAAATTCGAAAATATCTATATTAAATTATAAAAATATTTTGGTAGCAAAATTTTAAACTACAAACAATATTTTATAACACGCATATAAGATAAGTAATAACTATGAACAATTATTAATTGAACAATGATATTTAAAAATTGTTACGCTTTAATAAATTCCACTTTGAATATTTTTTTATTCGAGTTTACAGATGCCACGTATACGAGGTGAGAGCATGGTTAGAATGATATTAGCCGCGATATGCAAACTATCCGTTCTCGGGAAGGGCAAGTTGAAAAGGGAAGCGTACGCTTTGCACCTGCGCCACGCTTTTAATAAAACGGGCGCATTACTAAATCGTCATATCCGTCAAATCAATCTTCCTCGTTGCACACGTCAGCGTTCATTACCGTCGCGTACGTATACCGGTGACGTTGAAAATACACGACGGCATCAGCAGACACCGTCGACGATAATCCACTGCGGGTCAAATGGATCGCGTGAAAATCTCGAGCGATCGTTAACGGGTGACATCGGCGCCCAGTAAATCTCATGACCGAACGCGCCTATTTTGTAATCGTTTACGCTCGCGTGTGTGTACGTGTACATATTTTACATACATGTATGTAAAATGCGCATCGCACAAATACAGGCGTCGTTAATTACGCGGGTAACGGTATTTTCCCGATCCCGTACACCGGTAAACGGATATAATTGTATTTCGCTTTACTCTATGGATACCCGACCCGTGTCGTCGTCATATTTCCTCTGCCTTAATAATTCAAATCGATTTCCCGCTCGTTTCCCGTCGATCGTTTTGCCGCTATTATCGCCAAATAGTCGAGTTATCCTGTCGCGGACAGACTTACAGAAATTCGAGCGTAACAAGTTTTGTGAAAATAATTTTGTCGGTGGGGAAAAGGTCTTTAACTTTCCATCGTTTACGCGAATGAGACGCATTTATCCGATAAAATGAAAATCGATTGCGACTGATGTCATTGATCGATTTCACAATGCTTTATGGAAACTTGAATAAATCGTATCAATCAATGAAAAATTAAAAATAAAATAATTATAGATATTTAGAAAATTAAGAAAATACGATTAATTTGACGAATTATCAGAGAGAAAGATTTATCGATAAAGGATATAATGATAAATTCGGTATATACACTTCTGTGATGAGAAATATTTTCAGATTATATAAATAGACATGTGTGCTTCGAAAGACATCTCAAAAATTAAAATTAAATACCCGAGATTTTTTTAGCCTATTCAAGATACCACTATCAATCTGAAGCCATTTTATTAATTGTTACGAAATCGCAACATGTTTTTCTACTTTGAAATAGCAATGCACAAGCGACAAGGTAACAAATGTCTCATAACCATTTGAAGCTCGCACTTCTCGACAACGATGCATGTGGAAGTATTCCCATGTATGTGATTATTCATGCGAAAGAGACTATTGGGACACGCGTAATGTAGCCATTGTGTGCCTGTTCTTAAATGAAACGGCACTAAAAATACACGTCCGGTTATTTTCCAAGATGGGGAGTGAATTTCTTCGTTTACATTTCGATGATGTGGCTATACATATAACGACATTCTCTTGCGACAATAACACCTCTCTTTAATTATTCGAAAGTATCGCGCCTGCATAACAACAACGGCATACAAATTGATCTAATTTCATGCAGCGCGAAAAGAGAAACGAGATTGCTATCTATTTATTGCTACCATCGTTAAAAAAGTAAACTTTTAATTTCTTCAAAGATAACTTTGTGTTTTAAATTACTCATGAATGTAGATCAGTTCCTTCCTCCATTTGCTAGATTTATAATACATTTTCGACGTAAAGCAGTATTGGAAAATATAAATATTGTTCTGCAAACAGTATTTGATATTTCGTGCACGTGTATAATTTTTTTCAAGATAGAATCTATACATGCGCGATTTTTCCAGAAGAAATTAAATGGAAGAAATTAAACCACAAGTGTCGCTGTACGAAAGTAAATTTTTCACGTTTCATGATAAAATGAAGAAGACATAGTTTTCATCCATCTTCGGTTTCGAATTTTCGATGACGTAAAAAAGATCATGTAAAAAAGATCCCTTGACTTGTCTTGAAAAAACGCTCACGTATCTCTTTAGGCATCGGACGAATTCGCAGTGTAATACACAAAGAATGAGGCGAGAGAGAGAGAGAG